CACACACACACACACACACACACACACACACACACACACACACACACACACACACACACAGATGAAGATATGCTACACATTTCCTGGAAACAAATGGAGAGCATCTGCACTTGAACTACAACCGTACAGAGCTGCTGCCTGGCTTTTCTCATAACAGAGGTCATTAATATTGTCTTCTTATAGCTGAGCCCCGGTGCTCCAGGCGAGCCTCTTATCTATAAAGTTGAGCGTAGTAGATCATATGAGATGACCGTGAGCTTCAGCACTTCATGATCATCAATTATTCATTAAGGAAATTCTATTAAGGTGCTATTAAAAAAAGAACCTGTCAATATGCTTGCAATCAGCATACTGCAGACTAATGTTAACATCAGAAGTGTACAGCTTATATATAATATACAACTCCATAAAAGAAGTAAAGAGTCTCTTTTTTGAGGGGGTTGCAGTGAAGCAATAGAAAAGAAAGTAAAGGGATGACTCTTGAGTGATTATGCACAATCAGTACTGACGTAGTGTAGCAAGTTTCCTGGAACAGATGATCTTAGCATTCCTGCCATTACCCTGAAATCCAATCGAAATGTTCATACATTTTGCTGAAATTAATTCCAGCATCTCCTGTTTATGTTAGAAAAAAAATATTTGCGAGCAACTAATCTAAAGCAATGTTCTCTTGTGCCGAGCACAATATGGATTAATTGGCACGGCTGGTCGGCCAAATCGAATTTGTTTAATTTTCTTTCCAGTTGTTTGGCTGCTGTTTTCAGCTTCTGCTTTTTCCATCTAAGAAAAGCGTACGGGGATGATCGTGCATGTTTATGCGCAGAGACCTGGCTGGGTGAAAGAATGTAAGCTCTGTGGGAAGCTGCTGCTTTTAATAATGGGGAAAAAGCAAAAACTGGTTCACTAGTTAATAAAACTGAAGTTCACACTTAAGCAAATACACGTACAGATGTCAGATGTACAGCGCGAGCTTTTTAAATGCCAGATCCTCATATAAGAGCTCTCTACTATGTGACTGAGCAGTGTGGCAATGTGGCAGCACTGACCTGTCGACGCTGAGGGCGCACAGGTTGAGCACTGTGATGCCCACAGATGCTTTCTGCAGGAAGGGAACAAACTTACAAAGGCACAGGCCCACAATGCTGTCATCGAATGGGAAGCGTGATGCCAGGAGCTGGAAAATATAGAAAAAAAGGAAAGGATTTAAATCCGATTTAATACGTATCCTTTACGCACATCAGCAAAACTCACACTTCCCTGATGTATCATTAAAAAGTAAATAATTTTCTTTGTCTTCACGTGCGTTTTACAAGCCTGCTGTTACTGTTGTTTTCCCGACTCAAATGGGTCCTTTTGCATATATAAGACCTTCCTAGTGGATTTTACTTTGAAGTCCGTCAGTGTCATCTTAACATCACTGTCAGTCTGCAGGGACCACTTCCAGTATTTAAGAAATCTCAATATTGGCTTTCTACTTTTATCACTAGTGTCTAACAGTTGTTTTCTACTACTTCTTCCTTTGGTAAAATTAGTCAGGGTCACGCAAGCACTTGGACACTGAAGTATTTTTCAGCAGCACAAAAGTTTTACAAAGCAAAACAAAAGACAGTGTTTCTGGAAACAATGTCTTTGCCTCGAGGAAGACAACAGGAGGTTTCAACATTGTAGATGTGGCTCTTTCTTTGTTTATGCATAAACTGCTCCCCCATGCAGAAGGATTGTTGTTTCCTCTTTGCACATGTGTTGCTCAGACTACAAAGTCACTCTGCCCTCAAAGTCCCAAGATAATTTTAACCAGGTGCTTTTTTTTCTTGGTTAAACCACATCCTATAATGAGCTCAAAGGATCAGGTTGACTGATCACTTCATTTTGCCATCATTCTTTATTATTGCAAAAAACCACGACAGTGTTTACTGAAAGAAATCAAACGAAGGCAGGGGGCCTGTAATGATTTAACATAGTCATTCACATTCTGAAGAGGTCCCAGCGTAAACAAAAGGGTCGAGTCAAACCAAACTGAAACGAGCTGCAGTTGTGCTCTTGTGACAGTGTCTTTTAAAGATGCTGATAATCATTAAAAGACTGTTTAACATGTTTAACAGTTGCTTATTTGGGTAAGACTAATAATAATAATTATAATGGTCATAAGGACGAGAATAAAACCAGTCGATTTCAAACATGACCGACCGATAAGCTCTCATGCTCCTATTTCACCTCACTTTTATTTGGATTATAAAGTACAATAAGTACAAAAGTTATTTATCACTTGTGGAGCAGTGAGATTTGAGAACAAAACAAAAAAAACCCAAATTCCAGATAAGGGTTCATGACTAATGTCTCAGGTCAGCGCAAGGCCAGTGATGTGTGTGACTACAGCCTGATTCTTATGTTTAGTTATGTCAGCCATACCACTGCTTGTCTCATCGCCACACGAAGACGATAACAACCTGACTGATTAGGCTTTGCCATCTATTTGTACACTCACTCAGGCCCTTTCCCACTCACCCCCCTCTCTCCTCTTCTCCAGTCTGCCTGTAATATTCCACTTTATCTGTGCATATCGCCTCCGCTGTCCCTGCATTTCATCATATTCACAACGAGACGTGTCACTCAGCAGCCTTGACATGAAAATAAGAGTTTAGAGTAAGCAAAAAAAAACTGTACCTTGTACACATTGATGGGTATATCAATGACAATGTAGATAAGGTCGCCCAGGGCCAGGCTGGCAATGAGGGCGTTGGGTCCATTCCTCATGCATTTGTGCTGGTATATAATCCTCAGCAGGGTGGCGTTGCCTACTATCCCGACTACAAAGACTATAATGGAAATGATTGTGTTGATGTACTTAAAATGTGCGTTGATTGAGGTATTTACAGTGCAATTAGGTGGTTTCTTTACTGCAGTTGCGTTGCCAGAGCCAGATACCACCGCTTGTGTCCGCTGGTGGATGCCGGGCCCCGTGCTTGGACTGACAGTGCTGTAGAGACCAGACTGGAGGGTGGAGTGGACGAGAAAGCTGGAGAGAGGGTCCTGGTCCGCTTCAGCTCTGTTTATCTGGCAGATTCCTCTGGCTGCCATACAGGCCATTAGCAAAAACATATGTCCAGCTGGAGAGCCCATTATGGGACGCATTGAGCGCTTTGATATCACTGACAGAAAGATGGTCCCAATGTATCACTGGTAAGAAGAGAAAACAAACAAAAGCAAGAAAGACGTGGTTATTTTTTCAGAAAGCTCACAGTAAATCTGAAAAGACGGGAGTGTAATGTTAGAAGTCAGAGATGACGAGAATGTTTGATGGCCTTAATGTCCCTTTCAAAAGCTATGAGGAAGTTCAGCAACATCTTTATGACTTCTAAAAGGTTTTGCCAAGGGGGCACAGATGGATGATGCCAGGAGTAGTTACAGTGAGGATGAGGCATCAACAGAACACGTCGGGGATCTGTTTTGCTCTCAGTCAGTCCTGGATGAAGCAGCACTTGGTTGTATCGATAATGTTGCAGCTGGACGTTGGGGTTTTATGTCAGCTTGTGCTGTTTTGACAACAAGCCCTTCATGTGAGTTTGATTTCCTATGTTCTTTATTCTCCATCTGTTTCTAATTTCAAAAAGTTTAGACTTGTGGTACTGAGCTTTTTATAGACACGCTGGATTGACTTCTAGTTAGCTGAGTAATGCAAGAGCCCAGGTTAAAATAAAAACCAGATGAAGACCCAAACCCACAGAACTAAGAGGTAGTAGTAGTAGTTTATAACTTGAATCCCTCTTCTTATTAAAAGGAAAAAAACAACCCTACAACAACAACAACAACAACAACAAACTTTCTGGACAAAATCAGAGTAAGAGAGAAAGTTTTAAACTATCACATCCACAGTGAAGCCCTTTTCATCATGTCACAGTACCGGCAACTCTTATAGCCCAGAGTTCTTCCTGTTCAAAGTCCCAGCTGTCACCAAGTACACAAAGAACTATTTAGCAGCCAGCCCTTCAAGTAGCATCACAGTTTAGCATCAGCATGACACTGCTGGGATCTGTGACAGCACGCAAACTGATCTATCCATAAATAATAAATACATTTGGTTTTCACCTACCGCTTCTAAAATGTCTGCCTGGCCCCCTTGGAAAGCGTCAGGCAAACTTTCAGCTGAAGCCCCCAGACATCTGTATCACATCACATGAGTAATTAACGCACTATCAAAGCCGCAGCGTATCCCACTTGGTTTGAGCAATGCACCCGTCTGCTCTGAGGTGCCTTCGCATTATGGCTCAGAGTTTCCTGTGGAGAGTTTGCAGTACGTCTGAGTGTGTGCGTGCTCAGTCGTGTGAGTCTGAGGTTTTGTGTACCTCTACATGTGTATGTGTGTGGGTGTGTGTGTGTGTGCGTGTCAGAGCACCAGTGAGACACTTTGACTGGGTGGGATAGTAAATCTCCACCTCCCTTTGGTAACAGACTGGGCCCCCTTTGGAAACATCACCCTCCTCTCTTCTCTCTCCTCTCTCTCAGAGGCACCGCCTGCTGACAGTCATCTCCATGGCGCAGCAGCACCCACACACACACACACACACACACACACACACATACAAGGGCAGGGGCATCTGGGAGCCCAACGCCCCTCCAATCTGCCCCTTTCCTTAAATCCCTCCCACCTCCACTTTCAATCCCCTCTGACTCGCAATATGTCTTGTATACATTACATACAACTGTTTCCTCACACAAAAGGCAGCAGAGATTAGACTGGAAGGAGGAAGGCAAGAGGAAGTCAGTGTCCATGTTGTGATGTTGTGTTTGTTTCATCTAAGTGGGAAACGGAGACGGGAAGTGGGAGCTAACCATCAGCCAGCCTTTACATCAACATACTACGAGCTGTGTGGGTGGCCGAGCCACATCACACTTTCTTAACTTTCGATTTATTTAAGGTGTGAAAGATATATAATATCTGTTGAATAAGTGATAAGTTAGGGGAAAAGCATTAAACAAGCGTTCTGCTCCATTACTAGACTTCTAAATGAACAAATATTAAATCAACTGGAAATTTCTTTCACCTTTTTAAGGGGAAAAAACCCCAAAACCGAGGAAAAATAAACAAAATTCCCAAACTGAGTGCTATCTGAGATAACCAGACGCCTGAGATGGGAGAAGAAGCCATTTCGATGTCAAGCGAGAAGAGTGCTTGTGCATCAGTGTCCATTATGGATTTCAAAATAGTTTATGATGTGAGCTGAGAGCAGGAAGAAGGCTATTGAAGTCACCGCAATCTCTGTTTTGCAATACCAAAAAAGCTGACGCAGCAACTGCACAAAGAGGAAAACACCGCTCAGTTGTATGCCATTCCTGATACAGAACCAGCTGCATATAAGCTAAAAATGAAAAACTGTCTTCTCAATAGATTAAATGGCAAAAAGACGACAAAAAGTTGTGTTTTATGTTGATTCTGAGCATTTGTGGACTTTCCAAAGTTTTCTTTTGCATAGAAATAAGCCAAAAAATGCACTTTACGTCAAAGGTATTTTATTTATTGGGCACTATTGGAAAATTTAAACTGTATCTCTACGTTACAGCGACACATATATACGCAACTGTTAAGAAGCAGTAGAGAATAGTTTTGTGTGCAACATGCTGTAGAAATCATACATTTATTGTTGATCATGCACACACTATATGACGAAAGAGAAATCCGGATGAAACGTACACATACATGCACACATGGTATATGCAAGCACTCACTGACTGGCTGTGGCCCCGAGACCTTCGGTGTCAAAGGGCGCTGAGTGAACATCCACTAAGTCTCTATTGTTTAAATATGTTTTCTCCTGAGAATTTTAATTTCTCGTGTGAGGCTCCATGCCATAGGTTTGTACAAAGGCTTCCTTCTACCTCCGGTCATCCAAACTAATTGATGAATGACCTCTTTGCAAAAGTGATTAATCACTAATGTGTTATAGTTATGGGTTCACTAAAGGTTTTTTATTATTATGAGAAAGCACGTCACAAAATATTTTCTTGTTTGCATCATGTCACTATAAAATATTTGTCCTGATAACCTTAACTAATAAAAAAATATTCTATTTTCCAAGATGAGGTCAAAATTTTATATTATTGCTACCAAATACAAGTTAATTACAAATTAAAACTATGTGTTAAATTCATATATAGTTTAACAATAATATATATATTTTTTGTGAATAAAACTTTTATGCTTCCTCAGATAAAGTATAATTTCAGCACATATGGTTGATTTTCAGGTACTTTTCCTACAGTCAAATGTGACTTAATTGGGTAATGCCAATATTTACAGCCATCTGAAATTAAAGGGATCGTGTTTTCTTTAATTGTAGTCATGAATATATCATGGCTTCTGAATTAGTTATGGTCAGCAGTGGCGAATATTTAATTTATTGGAACGTGATTTGCTGACGGCATCTGATTTCGTACCCCTATTTTTTCCCCTTCCAAAGTCCCCTGATTGTTGGCAGCTTCTATGACATTTTAACTTTTTTTTTTTGGAGGGGGGGTGGGGGGGTAGAGTCTTTGTTAGTAAATCCATTAATATATAAATGATGAAACCTTTACCTGCTCCCAGTTGCTTTGGCTTTCATGTTGTTGTTGTGTTGTTGTTTGGATCGTAATCAGGTATTAATGCCATTCTGTCTGAACTCAAAGATGGCAGGCTGCCTGGTAATTCATATGCTTGTTCTCTGATGGCATCTGTCGAAGTGTGCTCTCTGCATATTGGTACATACCCTATGGGAAATTTCAATCCAGCCCCAGACTGAGTGGGATGTAAGCAATTTCTTAACTGGGACACTTGCGTGAAAACAGAAAGAACAGAGAGAGAGAGAGAGGGAGCGAGAGAGATACTGGGAGAGAGGGACCGAAGCAGTGAGGGAGGGAGAGAATAGGTTTGAGGCCAATCCTACAGTGACAAGCAGCGACAGAGTGAAGAGGGCTCAGTATACTGCCTGGCTTTATTAATTTGGGCCATATGGCTCACGCAAACAAAAAGTTACAGCACAAGAGCAAAAGAAATTTTGACTCTGGATGGAAGAAATTTTCATTGTAGTCTGATTAGTGCCAGCACTTGACTTCATCTGAAATTTATCAATATAATATTAACAGACTATTTTAATTAGAAGGAGGGAAGCTTTGTCAAAGCGGCGATGATGATGACGGCTGATGAAAAGAGCCTGTAGAAAAAATCTGTTCGTGAGAACTCGTCTGTTTTAAAGTTCATGAAACTTTCTACACTGTGGCCTTGAGGCAGTGGCAGTATGTTGTTTTTGTGCAACTTTGGCTATGCTAAATCTGCAGGAAAAACAAATTGTTGGGGTCTGGGAGCTCGTTATCTTTTGGAACTGCACATTTTCCTTAAAACAGTAATCTAAAATATGACAGTAATCCAGATTTTTTGTCTGATTAGAGAAATAAGGTTAATAAAACTAAAAGCCAGTTTCTAGAAATATGTGTATTATTTCTGTACTTTGCTCACAGTACATCTTTACCCAGAGATGGCAGAAAGGAAAATAAAAGGAATACTTCAGATTAGCTCAGACAGCTTGCTGTGAAATGTGAGGTGGCAGCATGTTTTGCTCTTAAGGATATTGAAGCTTTGTTGATTCATGTCTCAGAAATACATTACTAGACATTGGCTTGGAAAGCCAAATGCTCTCCCACTCTGGCCTGATACTCCTGTGATTCATGCAGAATGTGGTTTGTCATTGTCTTGCTGAAATAAGCAAGTCTGTCTCTGAAAACGATGTCATTTGGCAGCACAGGTTGCTTAGAAACCTGAAGATATTGGTCAGAGCATTACAGCACATTTTTCTGCTTCGAGCTTGATTTTATACGTTTTATTTTTTATATGGCAGAGTTATAAGTTATGCGGCAAAAAACTGCTCTAAGTGAAACTAAGTGTCCACAAACACACTTTTTTTTTTTTTTTACAATTAATCAAATCTGTCTTTTTTTATTCTTATATTTTATATAATGCAGAACACCAAGGTTACAGCCATGCAGTGTTGTTTTTTTGGCCTTGTGTTTTTGCATACAGAGATTTCACTTTTTTTCTTATGTATTAGTTTTTGTTCAGGACATCTTTAGGACAGTGTGATTGTGTGCGTGTGTATGGGTGTGTGTGTCTAGACATCAGCAGCTTATCTGCTGGGCGGCTGTAGTAATGGTGGAGTCCTCAGTATTTACATAGTGCGCTGTTATTAGCAGCTAACTGGCGTTGTCCAGGGTGTAACCCACTTTTTACTCTATGTTAGCAGAGACAAACTCCAGCAAACCTGTGACTCTAAGTTAAACATGCGGTTAAATGGGTTGATTAAGTTGCATTTTTATGTATTTGACAATTGTTCCTTTACAAGTGACACAAAATCCCCTTAGCAAACCAACTTCTTTGGCGAGAGCATCCAGACTAAATCACGACCTCTTATAAATGTACCTCGGATCTACTCTGCAAGCACTTCTTTTCCCGAAAGGTGTTTGCTTTCCAAACTTTCTAAAAATCAATCTGGAAACAAGTTGGATATGTCAAGAGTTTAGGCTGGTATTTTGAACAAGACTTTTCATTTGCTATAAATTTTCAAAACAATCATGCAACTACCATGCAAACCCAGTGCTGATGACTAAACATAGAGCTCTCAGACAACATGGTAACTGATAGCGGAGTCTCTCACAGGGCAGCCTAGACACATTCCTGTTTATAATCTGGCACTTGTTGGACAGAGGCTCAAAGCACTGATAAACTCAGTCTCTGCCCATCTCACTTTGCTTTCCCCTATCAGAAAACCCATGAGCGCATGCTCAAAATTTCTAGGAACTCCATTACACTCTGACCAGTAAACACTTCAGAGAATAAAAATTGACTATTAGATATTTTCTTTTTGGTATTCTTTTAAATTATTGATTTCTTGTGTATGTTCTCTGTAAATCTTCACATTTGCCTAGAGCTGTGGTGCTACTGCGCTGCAAGTCTCACCAAAATGCAGTATAAACAGCCACTGAAGCCGCGATCAACAGTTTGCTGCCTATACTTCAGTTAGGTTACATTTGAAAAACATCTGCGGACAATTTGAACATGGCACGCTACTGGTAAACACAGCTGTAAAGATCAAGTGGCCAAACAGAAGATAACAAACCTCCGTTAAGAAAGACTGATGGGATTTACTTGTTGAATTTCCAGATGTTGCTCCGGTCAGTTACCTGATAATGATCTAATATTAGACGATAATTTCAGCTTCTTTTTAGGAAACTATTCTGGCTCTCAGAAAAATGAAAATGCTGTGCGTTTAGCTACAGGTGGTTGAGCCTAAAATGGTTTACTTCTGTCTGAAACACCGACTAGCAAGTTTACATATGTAAGTGACGGCA